TAACGTGGTGGAATGCAGACTGGTTGAGTGGAACCCCAAGAGAGACAGATGGAGCTTGCAGTGTGTAAGGACTGCTCTGCCACTAAGGCAGAAGACTAGAGTTTCTACTACATCTCAAATTATTTCTACTATCTCCAAAGCTTCCTCTATGACCCATAAAGTTGCCAGATCCACTTGCATGACCTCTTTGTGACCCAACAGACTGCATCTCTTATTGAAAAAGGGCCCCTTTCACTTCACAATTAGGCCCATTAACAGTGTGATATTTCTGAACAATTTTATCAACTGTATCATGATCGTCAAAAGTTACAAAAGCAAATCTTTTTTCCACTGTCTTCCATAACTTCCATAGTTTCAATCTTGTCATATTTTTCAAAGAAGTCTCTCAAGGTATATTCTACTGTATCTTTTTTAATACCACCACCCATTTTTTTCACTATTAGATGGGCTCCTGGTTTCATAGAATCCTCTAGAAACCACTCTGATTCTACAACATGCTTATCAACCTTGTAGGGTCTAGCACACATTGCTGCATCTACCTCTTCAAGAGTAAATCACAAAACTGAAGCCCCTGGATTTCTTATTACCACAATCTGTGAGGGTGCCCCACTTCTCAAAATGTTTTCTTAAAGTATCATCTGTAATTTCAGAGCTCAGACCAATAAACAGCTTCCTCAGTTGCTCTGGTTCCTTTGGATCATGCTCTCCATTTTGAGACTGGACTTGCTTCTTCCAACTCAAGTTCAGTAAGGGACTGAGAGCTCCAGAACTTTTCTAATTCCCATTTAAATTGTTAGGAAGGTTGGCGTTACTAGTCAACCTATCTTCCAACAGAACTGAGTAAATGATGCAAGTTGTTAATAGATGGGTACAACTAGCTCTGCTAGTGACTGGTTTTTCTTTAATAAAGTTGCATAAACCAAACCAAAACAAAAACAGAAACTGGAGGCCATCTATGAATGAAAAAGCCAACTGGTCCTGATTTCAATCCTCAGTTTAGGTACAAAGAAAAGCATCAAAATGCCTCAGTGAGGTTGCAGTGATGAGTCCAGTACTGGGAGTCTGCAAAACAGAGAAAGCTGGCAAGCAGGGCAGGGATCAAGATTGGTTACAAAGAGAATAGAGAAAGAGGAACTAAAATAAGCCAGTATATGCTGAAATGTTAACTCATGTGCAAAGTGGGAAACCTTGAATGAATCCTGTCAGTGTTTGGTCAAATTGGAAGATTGGTATGAACTTAATATGTTCCTTAATTATAAAGGAAAAAATAACTCACACATGGTATATTTATATGTAGGTGTATGCATTTAGGCTTACATGCCATTATTTATGTGCACAAAATTGTGTATATACATGCATATATTTTTGTTGGAAAGGCCTGGATGCAGTGACATCCAGTAGCAGTGAGATCTTAGATTTTATTGTTAGTTTTTGTTTTTTACGTGAATAACATTTAACGTGATCACTGGATTTGGGTCTAACTTTTTCCTATTTGTTTTCCATTTGTCCCACTTATTCTTTTCGGTTAATAGAATATTTCATTTTTTTAAACTGACATAAAACCATAAAGTTATACATCTTAATGAGGTACATAATTCATGATAGAAGTAGAAATTGGATTTGAAAGACAGTTTTCATCAAAGGAAGAAAGAAGTAAAAAAAGGGCTGATCCAAGGATAGTAGCAGACAAATGTTACAAGTTGAGATGAAAATACAAATATGTTCTATATGGCTAAGGACATAGAAACTCTCAGAAACTCTTACTTATTGGTCAAATCTGGGACCATTTGAGCAAATACAGGATGAGATATGATAAATGAGAGAAATCTCTTCCCAAGAGGAAAATGCCAATTAATATAGGAGGAATGAGGGACATGAAAAAAATCACCATCTGGCAACTACCAAGCATACTAATCAAGGGAGAAAGCTAAGAGCAACAAGCTAACATCAGGAATATGATATTTATGTCATCCCAAAGTAGTGTTTCCACAGGATATTTTATATATTGAGTGTAGAGGAAAAAATAACCATAAAATGATGATCACAGTAAATAATACCAGAACTGGGACAGGACTATATTCCTCTTGTCATCATGTCCTACGCATCACCTCTGTGATGCTCCAGCTGAAACTACACGTTCTTTTTTGGTCAGTTGTAGGGCTTGAACTTGGCCTGGGCACTGTCCCTGAGCTCTTCAACTCAAGGTTAGCACCCTACCACTTTAGCCTCAGCACCATTTCTGTTTTTTCTGAGTGGTTTACTGGAGATAAGAGTCACAGACTTTCTACTGTTTGGGCTGGCTTTGAACTGTGATCCTTAGATTTCAGCCTCCTGAGTAGCTAGGATTACAGGCATGAGCCACTGGTGCCTGGCTAAAGCATTCTTTTTTTTTTTTTTTCCTGGTCATGGGTCTTGAACTCTGGGCCTAGGCAATGTCCCTGAGCTCGTCAGCCAAAGGAAAGTGCTCTACCCTTGAGCCACAGCGCCACTTCTGGTGGTTTTCTGGAGATAAGAGTCTCACCGACATTCCTGTCCAGGCTGGCTTTGAACTATGATCCTCAGATCTCAGCCTCTTGAGTAGCTAGGATTACAGCCACATGAAATTACATGTTCTGAATCTAGTCAGCACTAGATTCTAGGAAGCACTAAACAAATGGAGTTTCTATAAAGCAATAAACTGTACTTAAAAAAAAGGGGAAGAACTAAAGAACAGTTCTTGATTGATACTAATAAAAAATGACAACACCCTGTGATTCAGATTTTGATCCACTTGCTATAAAGACAAAACGGGGCAGCTGGAGAAACCAGATGAGGGTCATTAGATGAAGACTACAAAAGAATTTTCCTGTTCTTATAACTTTATTCTTATAAAATTTCAAAAAATCAAAGCTTACAACTTTGTTAAAAACTTTTATTTACTATAAAGACAAAACACCAAAATAGGTACAAATACTATAAAATTGGTTCAATGGGGTAAAAATTTTAATTAAAATATCTTGATATATTTAAAATAACAAAGGATACATTTAAGCCAAATTTTCTTAACCCAGATTTTTTTTTTTTTAACATTTGCTTACACAGTAAGGTGCTAATAGAAGTTAGCCCTTAAGCCCTGGAAGTCTTAGGAATCATAGTCACACAGCAAATATAATTTCATTGTGAAAGTGAACTTTGGTAGAAGAAAAACTATAGGACACCTGAGGTAGTAGAAACTGGAATAAACAGCAGTAGACGTTATTTACATCTTGAGTACCAAATAACATTAAGAACACAAAAATAATTACACAATACAAATTTCAGTCCAGCTTTGATCCAAAGAAAATAAAGAATATTACATCACATTTGCATTGAAAAAACAAAAACCACAATTACCAGCAAGCTGAGGGAACTGCAAACAAACTCAAACACAATGGATTTTGACATCTACGGATAGCTTGAGTTTGAAATGTGGTGGGCATGGTAACTACAAAGTAATACTGATTAGCTGAGGTTCCTCAGTTTATACAGTTTACATTTCTGTCAGACACAGTATTAATCTGACCAATGATTTTCCAGTACATAAAATGGCAAGAATATATCCTTTAAAGCTTGCACATGGGAGACTTGGAAACAATCTTATTAGAATTGTGAAAATTCTAACTAGCTAAAAAAGAAAATGAAGTCAAGTACAATACATTTAGAGCTAACAAACTTCACATTTCTGTTCTATTTTTAACTCTTCAAATATTGCCAATCTTCCAAAACAAAGGAATGTAAAATTTCATTAAGAAACACATTCACATAAAAACAAACTGCTTTTTAAAAATTATATGCAATATAGACTTGTAAACTTACCTGTAACTTATTTTACTTCCAATTTGTGTTGTACATTTTAAATGTACTCTATATAGCTTATTTAGTTTATCCTGAGTCTTTGAGAATAACCAATTCTGTTTCACACTGGCTTCTGAAGAGTTAAAACTTAAACATCTCAAAGTTGTATTTAATAGTTAATCAGTACTTGATTTAAAAGGCACACACATGCACGTATGTGCATGTGCGGACACACACACACATACACACACACACACACACACACACACACGCACGCACGCATGCACACACACAAAAAGAGGTACCATTTTCCTTCAAGATTCCATGCATCTGAATTCAACTCCAGACTAAAGCCACTAAATGAAATACAAGAAATTAGGTAAATGGAATTCATCTTCACTTTTGTTTCTGAACATTTTTTTAAGTTCAAAGCAAATTACTGCTTAGTCACTAATAATTTAAAGTTGAATAATTACGTTAATTTTTTCTTATTAGCCAGGCCTACTATACAGATAAGATGCATGGTAGAAGGAAAACAGTAGTTATGGTACAGTCAATGGTAATGGTGAATGATGTATTGGTACATACAGAGTAAGACTTTAATGGTGTGAAGTTTCTTACAGTTTAGCAAGAGACACTGAAACATTTAAAAAAATTTAAATTTCAATGTAATCATGCTCTTGGTTGAAGTTACATTTAAAAAAAACAGATGGTTTTCAATGAACTTATAGTTAACCTGCACAATAAGAGCAGGAACTAATTCAGGCAGTACTTAATCATATTCCACTTTAAAACAAACTTAAACCAGTATTTAAAATCTCTTGCAAAAGCAAGATACTCAATAAACTCTAGTTCATACCTTGTACTATTATTATTTTTCTGGCTTGAAGAGACTGCCTTTCCCTGAAAATTAAACACTTAAATAAAGGTGAAATGAAAATACAGAACCATAATTTCAAAAAACCCCGAAATGAATGGGCCAACAGTAAAATGCACAATGATCCACAACTGTCTCGTATTTGAAAACAATAAAAAAAAGGTCAATTGTGGGTCATAAAGACATTATCAACTTTTAAATATATATACACATACACATATGCATGTATGTACGTGCACACATAACACGCACACATGAATACATATATACATGTGTATGCACCATGCACATGTATACATATATGTATGCATATATACATATGCACACATGTATATATGTAGATGTGTGTATATATATTTATATTTACTGCTACTCATAGTCTGACTTAAAAGAGGCAGATACCGATTTTTACAGCCAGTGACAAAAACAAACAAAACAAAAACACCCCACAATGGACAACACCAGTATCAAAAACGGAATTGCCGAACCCCGTTTGTGATCATTATATGAAATGAAGAATAACTGATACATTAAAATAGATCCTGAGCCCCTCAGCTGCTAATATTGCTGAAAAAGTGCTCCAAAAACACAATGCTTCTGTTACTTAGCCATGCAAACTTCATTGCTTTCCTGTTTACCTAGGGCCAGTTCTTTGAAAGGCACTGTTTACAGTTTCTGCACAAGTTGTGGACTTTTGCATACTGAGCTTAGGTACAGATCATGATTTGTCAATCACATACTTAGGTAAGGGTTTTCTACTGGCCTTCTTCATAGCTGCTCAGTGGCATGAAGGCCAGCAGATTAGCAATGTGGTTTCCCACAAGTTTTTTCTTTCTTGTTAAGCATTCTGTCTCTATTAAGAGTTTATTCATATAATTGGCTACCATGTAGTACGGAAGACTGGATGCTTTAGTAGCTCTCTTGATGGAGGTCTGTCCTGAGGTTGAAGTTCTAAACAACGCAGTGCTACATCACGTAAACCAGGAGACAGATGTGAAGGAATCGATGGAGCAGTGGTTGCACTAGCAATCTGCAAGAGAAAAAGCCAGAGTATTGATGCTTTCCACAGACTTTAGATGTGAAAGTCCAGAAGACTATCATATGACCCATTAGTATGTTCCTGCGTACAGTATTAATTATATTCTTCCATATTGTATAAATCTTAATTTAAACACTATGTATCAAACACTATGAAGAAGTAACTTTTTTGATAACGGAATGTAAATTTTAATTCACTTGCCTACTTCTCATCATATGACCTTCCCTTAGTAATTTCATGAATGCTTTGGGTTAAAAATGCAACATGATATAAAGATAAATTCTAAAAGTTCTATAATCCTATACTAAGATTCAATTGATACATCTTATATATCACAAGAGGAAAAATGAAAAAATGACATTCTTTTTACTGTTCCCAAATGTTATCAATGCAAACAAATTCTTATATTTCCTTCACAGGAAAAAAAAGGCCCATATGTACACTAAAATCTAATGCACACCTTAGATTATTTTTACGTCTATTAGAATCACTTTATAAACATTGCCCTTTTCACCTATTAATATAGCTGGTCATACTTTCTAAATTAACACCAATACCTTTACATTCCTCTTACCAATTTACACATAGTTTTAATAATGTGAACAACTTAATTACTGCTCATTGCTGGGTAGTCAGGTTTAGTTCAGTTTTTGGATACCATAGTCAACAGTAATGAAGGTATATTTATACTTTTGGCACACAGTACCTGGTCATTCGGTGGTATAGTATGTTAAACTACCAGAAATGGGGTATTTAAGTGTTGGAAAAGCTATGTCCTATCATTTTGGTGTCTCCAAAGACCTCAAACTATTTACTAGAAGCTAAGGAAACAGAGAAGACTACAGTGTAATGTTTTTGACCTCTACTTATGAATTAGAATGCAATGATAATCTGTTAAAAGTGGACAGTGCCAATTTGAAACTCATTTCTATTTATTTCCAGGATTTCACCAAACTTTGAAAGAGTAAACTTTCAAACTGATCCTAGTCATGAGTATTTATCAAACAACTTCTGTACAGACTTTGAAAGGAACAAAACTGAGCCAGACATGAATGGATCTCAGAGGTAAGACAGGAACCCAACTAGGAGACTTCATAAGAGGAAGTATCAGATGCAGGCATGCATTCACAGTAATAGGGAAATAGTAGCTGTGGGTAAGGCAACACCCAGGTAGAGTACAGCACTGGCCTGTGAGCCTTCATGGAAGTCAGAATCTGAACCATGGGAAATATGGAAACACGGAGCAAGAGAGCATTAATGCAAATGAATGACTGTTAAGAGAAGTGACTGAGCAAGTTATGTGTGGAGAGAAATGAAGGAGGACCTGGCAGGGGAGGGGCCCACAGATAATCCTGTTGAAACCATATCCAGGAAGTAGGGGCTACTATTACACTCTTCTTACAAGTGAGAAAATGTGAGATTTCTGTATGAGTCCAAGCCCATGCTTATAACCATCATCACATGTACATTCAAAAGCTAAACATCTCCAATTACACTTTCCTATAATGGAACTGCAGATAGTGGATTTGGGGGCTGTCACAAAGTACAAGATTTAGTATATAGTGTGAACCAAATACAGAAAATAGTAAAACTACTTTAAAGGAATATCTGAATTGTGTAAAATATACAAAGCATGTACATATATGTATGTTTATAGAAAGATAGATAGATACATACATACAACCCATAAGCAATGATTCAGTATTTGCTAATTTAGTGGTTTTAAAGGGTTTATAGACTGTAAACTACTTGGAATGGTGAGAACTGTCTGCAAATGCCACAAGCAGTAACAATGCTGTATAAATTTCTGGAGATTACACATTTATTTATTTCAAGATAGACAGTTTATGCTAAGTTGATAAGAAGAACACATGAAAATTTGACTCCTGCCAAATTTCAGCACAGAGAAGTAAATTTTATTTCACAATTACCTTAAATATCAAAGCAAGATGATTGGAATGTTTTTCTGCATTCCAAGGCGGTTTTGCACAAGCCATTTCTATAATAGCACAGCCAACACTCCACACATCACAGCTCCTGCCATATTGCTGACCTCTTAGTACCTAAATAAAGCAAAGTTAATTTAAAAAGGAGAAAGCCATCTTATAATTATAGATTCTATTTTTTTTTTTACTTCAGAGCAAAACAAAAAGCAATGGCATCAACAGCAATTATTTGGAAGGCCCTATATCTCTTTAAGAATCTTAATTACCCATGTGACATAAAAATAAACATCACAGAATTTGAAAGCATTCCCTTTGACAAGAGGGCAGCGTTCATAGGAGCAAGGTTTTGTTAAACTTCCAGTGCTGACAAAGCCTCCCTTTAGGGGCTCACCTCCTTTAGAAAAACAAGCAAATTGTGTGTGCACGTGCGTGTGCGTGTATGCGTGCACCTGTGTGCCAGTAGGTGGGCTTGGACAAAAGGGCTGGGGTGCTGTCCCTGAGCTTTTTTGCTCAAAGCTAGTACTCTACTACTTGAGCCACAGCTCCACTTCCAGTTGTTTTTGTTTTTTTTTTGGAAGTTTATTGGAGATAAGAGTGTCACAGACTTTCCTGTCTGGGCTGTGATCCTCAGATCTCAGCCTACTGAGTATCTAGGATTTATAGGTGTGAGTCACCAGTGCCCATCCTACAAGGTACATTTTAAATATTTCTATTATGTGTCCTTTGGGTTTACTATAAAACTACTGTAAACTACTCCACAGTTCTTTGCTAGAAGTAGCCTTTCGGCAAATCTTTTTTTTTTGGGGGGGGAGGGGGGTCCAGTCGTGGGGCTTGAACCCTGTCCCTTAGCTCTTCAGCTCAAGGCTAGCGCTGTACCACTTGAGCCACAGCGCCACTTCCGGCTTTTTTCTTTTTTCTTATGTGATGCTGAGGAATCAAACCCAGGGCCTCATGCATGCAAGGCAAGCACTCTACCACTGAGCCACCTTCCCAGTCCCTCAGCAAATCTTTTAAAACTATCTTTTAAAGGGAGGCATAGATCGGTGGAAGAGCACCTGCTCAGCAAGTGAGAAGCACTGAGTTGGAATCCTAGTACTAACAAAACAAAACACAACTTTTAGAATTTTATCAAGATGAGGATGGGAAAGCTAGGAATAAGGGTTTGAAATGTAGGATACTATGAAAGCTAATTTTATAGCCACAGACAATTTGTAATCACATACTTGATACCACTGTGATATAATTACGTACAATGATGTCACAGGGAACTCAAGATATTTTCTTTTTCCTATTCAAAGCTACTTCTCACCTCAGGTGCCATAAATGCAATTGTCCCAAGTAACTGTCCCTGAAACTCTCCTGCACCAGTTCCTTTTGATGCCAACCTGGCTGCCGCTCCAAAGTCTGCAATTCTCAGCCTCTGACCTGTGCTGTCAATTAGCAAATTGGCACCTGTCAACAGAAATAGCAAATAATCTTGTATGTTAAAAAAAAATAAGGAAGACTAAAACCTAGTAACGTTCCACTTATGAGACCGGGCAATGATGAAGGAAGAAGTGGGCCACATATTAAAAGTTCAGAGAAAGCTACTATCTTCTCAGTCCTCTTTATCACTGCTAATGATGGGCAGGTCTCTAGTGCAGGTAATACCTATACTTCAGGCAAGGTCTGAAAAGCAAAGTCATAAGGCATATAGAGAGTAACTACTGAAACCGTCAATATAATGATTTTCAACAAAATCTTCAAAATTCCAATTTTACACATTAAGACAAAATTTTGTTGAAGCTCCTTAATCTAGACCAGCTCAAACATTCATTTCATAATTAAAAGCTTAAAAAACCCTAATCCTTTAACACTGTTTGCTTCAATATTTCTATGTCAAGTACTAGCTAAAGAAAATGATGACAGAAAACCAAAGTTTATCCCTAATAAAAATAAACTGAACTGCAAAAGATTTGACAAGACTTTTTCTTAACAAAAGTTTATGGTAGCTCAATTACTCCAATAAAATCAGGAATAGGGAGTCAGTAACTTCATGAAGGCAAGTTATGGAATTAGTGGAGACCTGGCCTAACACTTTTTGCTATCAAATAGTGGTAAAACTGCTCTATAAAGTAAGAAAGGCAGATTAATATGCTTAAGGGTCCTGTTAGTTCTAGTGGCTTGAACTTTTCAAGGAAATAATTCTGTAGTTTAAAATTAGGAGCTCTCAACCAAATTTAAGTTTTTGAAATTACATTTTTTGTCACTAGAAAATAATTAAAAGAATTCTTACCTTTGACATCTCTGTGAATGATCTGATTTTCATGCAGATATGAAAGACCACGAAGTAACTGTTCAGTATAGTTAATAACCACAGATTCCTTGAAAGCTCCATATTTACTCAGGAGATGAGCTACAGATCCTCCTGAAAGATCAAATACAAACAGTATTAGTTATCCTCAGCTTGGGTCAAAATTGAGATAGCTTGTATCTTAAATTGTATTACCTGTGCTTGAATTTGTATTTGAAATGCTGAATTCTACTTTAGAAGTAAAAATGATTTCCTGTATCATGGAAAAATTTATCAATCAGAAGATGAGCATGGTGCACACCTATAGATACCTACAAAGCTCAAGGCAAGCGCTCTACCGCTTGAGCCAAAGCTCCACTTCTGGTTTTCTAGTGGTTTATTGGAGATACCAGACTCACGGACTTTCCTGCCTGGGCAGGCTTTGAACTGTGATCCTCAGATCTCAGCCTCCTGAGTAGCTAGGATTACAGGCATGAGCCACTGGTGCATGGCTAGGAGACATTTTTACAGAGCATTCATGAAATTAATTCACCAGAGTCTTGACTTTCAAAAGCTTTAAAAGTTAACAATTCTTTATTTTTGTTTGTTTTTGGGGGTCCGGTCGTGGGGCTTGAACTATGGGCCTGGGCGCTGTCCCTCAGCTCTTCAGCTCAAGGCTAGCGCTCTACCACTTGAGCCACAGCACCACTTCCGGCTTTTTTCTTTTTGCTTATGTGGTGCTGAGGAATCGAACCCAGGGCCTCAGGCATGCAAGGCAAGCACTCTACCACTGAGCTACCTTCCCAGCCCTAAAAGTTAACAATTCTTATTGGAATATTTCACTCCTTTGTCTTCTCAATTAAAACAAACAAAATACTTTTATTATTGACATAAGTAACCAATGCCAACAGGTAATTTAGCAAAAGGTAAAGAATACGGGGAGGATCTAGAAGGCCTAGAATTAGGTTTTATATCCTACATGTACTAGCTCTGACTGGGATAAGTCAAATTCAACAAACTCTATTTAAAAGGGTTTGTAATAGTCAATCTATAAAGATCTTCAACAGGTACATGGACTTAACAACTAAGGGTAAACAGAAATTTACTCTTAAATAACATGAATCTAAAAAACTCACTAAAACTTTAGCCATCATATACTGAATCATTTATTTTATTGCATATACTGCATACAAAAAAAAATAAAATCAAACTTAGTCCTTGTTCAAGTCCTTGGGGAAGTGCTAGTTTATCTTAGTAAGGTTTTTGCATTGTACCTTAATTTAATTTTTATTTTTTTGAGACGGTGTCCCTATGTACCCAAGATGGACAAACTCTTGATCCTCAAGCCTCAGCCTTCTGAGTGCTGGGATTACAACTATGCCCCATTATGCTTACTTTGTTAAGATAATTAATTAGTTTATTTTTTTTTGCCAGTCCTGGGGTTTGAACTCTGGGCCTGGGCTCTACCCCTGAGCTTCTTTGCTGAAGGCTAGTGTTCTACCATTTGAACCACAACACCACTTATAGCTCTTTCTGAACAGTTTACTGAAGGTAAGAGTCTCATGGGCTTTCCTGCCCAGGCTGCCTTGATCATGGTTATCTTGGATTATAGGCATGAGCCATGGCTGCTGGCAATTTTTATTATTATATCATGTGAAAATGCTTCTTAAATCGATCTACATAGTGAGAGCCATTTGGGAAAATATGGGATCTTGTACATGACCAAAAAAAAATTCTTTTTTTTTTTGTCAGTCATGGGGCCTGAACTTCGGGCCTGGGCACTGCCCTCAGCTCTTCAGCTCAAGGCTAGCGCTCTACCACTCGAGCCAGAGTGACACTTCCGGCTTCTTCTGCTTATGTGGTGCTGAGGAATCGAACCCAGGGCCTCATGCATACAAGCCAAGCACTTTACCACTGAGCCACCTTCCCAGCCCTCTAAAAAATTCTTATAAACTATTTAAAATGCAGTCTCCAGTATTACAATTCCCCCCCCCCCAATAAAAAGAAATGGGAAAGATTTAACAGGTAGAGGAAGTATTTTACTATATTTAAAGACAATTTTTAGTTTATACTAGTATGCTAGAGGAACAATTTGCTTTTAGAAACCCAAATATTTTTTTAAATTGTTTTTCTAATTGGGTAGCAGAAAGCCAAATCCACATACTACTATTGACAATTTCAAACACCAGCATACCTGCCATCCATTCAATGAAGAGATTGTAATTGCTCTTTTCACATGTGGCTCCCAACATCCTAATGATGTTTGGATGATTCAGATGGCTCATCATTCTTATCTCCTCTCTCAGTGCTTCTACTACTTCTTCCTGCTCAGAAGATGTGTTTCTCACATATGTTACCTGTTTCAATAAAGTCACAAAACTGAATTCTGAGGTTTCTCTTTGCGTTTTGTGAACAACCTCATCTAAAATGAACTCATACATTAGTTTCTATGTTAACAGCATGTTAACATGTTATGCTCATGGATGCAGTGTGCTTCAATTTAAGAAACAAAACACCAAGAATACAGTAAAAATGCAAGTTAAATTAACAGTGAAATGTTAGGAAAATGATATACATACAAAAAGATATATAAAAAAATACATGCATTTTTTCATGCTCAGTTAGAGAAAGTTCAGTATGATTTTTAAAAATTTTATTTTATTGTAAAGCTGTTGTATGTGGGGGTTACAGTTACATGAGTAAGGCAATGAGCACATTACTTGTAGATCATTGTTACCCCTTCCTTTCCTTCTTGTTGTCCCAATATCCCCTCTCTCCCCCAGCTCCCACACTCCTATCCGCCCCCCTCTCCCTGCCCGAAGTTGTAAAGTTTGTTTCCAATATACTGTCCTGTGGATATTAAAAATAAAATCTTTTGCCAGGCACTGGTGGCTCATGCCTGTAATCCTAGCTACTTAGGAGGCTGAGATCTGAAGATCGTGGTTCAAAGCCAGCCCAGGCAGAAAAATCCGTGAAACTCTTATCTCTAATAAACCAACTGAAAACTGGAAGTGGCACTGTGGCTCAAGTGGTAGAGTGTTATCTTTGAGCTGAAGAGCTCAGGGACAGCGCCCAGGCCCAGAGTTCAAGCCCCACAACCTACCTAAATAAATAAATAAAACCTTAATTTTTTTTCACATTTTAATAAGCATGGTCATTATAGATAGTAAACCACAGAAGGAAGATGGCATTGTACCAGCATATTGCTGAAAGGAGAATGAAATGCTATTTCGACTAACTATAAAAATCAAAAATAAAAAAACCAAATGGCTATGTGGTATTCCTTGATATTGAAGCTCACAATAATTATGCCTCAACTTTTTTTTAATGTCAGACAAGTAATGTGTCAACATTGTAACAACGTTTAGAGGGAGGCACATGCCACACAAGCATGTGAAAACCCAATCATCCCGCTTATGAACCGAAAACTCAACTCTTAGGCAATGTCTACCTAAACTTAGTTTTCTCACACAAGCATAGGCATCTCCATTATCCTTTTAATTATATTTTTCATTTTATATTTGAATAATTATTTTCACTTATGCAGTCACTAGATAGTTACCTGTTTAACAGCCATTAAAGTTCCAGTTCCCACATCTTGTGCCTGATAACAAGAAGAAAATGCTCCAAGGCCTATCTGCTGACCTTTCAGCCATTCAGTATCTTCTCTATAAGGTTGTTTTGCTTTGGTATGTCCTGGAAGAGTCTCTGGTGTCTACATATGAAATAATAGCAATTTTCACTGTTAAAGATTTTGTGAAAGTCTGGCAAAATACTACTCTTCGTGTATTTTCCTAAATCACTTACAAACTTGACTTCTGAATGAATGGTGTTGGCAATTGATGTATAATGTAGAAGTAACAAACTTGGGAATCAACCAGAACTGTCTGTGAAATAGGTCAGTTGTACTGTTACTTAAATGATACAAAATTATTGTAAAACCTGCCTGCACTGATTAATTCATTTCATCTTAAAAGCAACACTTATCAATTAGCTTTATGATAACATAGTCCAAAGAAATTCCTTAATCTGTTAATGACTATACTTACGTCCTGTTGAATAATGATGATGTCTTCTCCATTTTCAACCTGTAGCTGAGGAACTATGGGGAGGGCATCCTGAGACGCTGACATTGCCATGGCAATTGCTAAAGCTTCTTCTTCTTCAGCTTCCATTTTTTCTTTGCACTTTTGATTATGATTCACATCATCTTTGTAGGTATCATCATTTTCTGCCTTCTCAGGAGACAGTACAGCAACTTCTGACTTAAAAGTAACAGTTGTGTCACTTGAAGGCATAGATGCTTCAAGAAGGTCCTCGATACTGGAGTTGAGCTCTGTATTGACATCTAATCTGCATTTCTCCTCTACTGGGGTGAACACTGTCTCTTCACTTGGTATAACAGCACTACTGCTATTGTTGCTACTGCCAAAGCTGTCATCACATTTGGAAGTACTATTCAGATCAAGTGTCATACTACTTTTGGAGGCATCTCCCTGTTTATTTGTGTTACCTGGCGTAGGTCGAGATGGCTTTGGCCTGTGTATGTTACTGGAGGGTAAAGGTCTTGATTGAGTGAAGATTGGGGAGAGTTTCTCTAGGTCTTTGCTTTCGGAATAGTTCCTCTGGAATTGTAGAGAAAATTTGCGCTGTGTTTGAGGAGATGCAGAAGATATTTTGCAGGGAACAAATCCCTGAGGTCTATGTTTAGAGACATCTGTTACAGAGCCAGCTGGTACTGATGGGGCAGATGAAGATGGGGTTGATGCAGTTGGGAACATTAAATGAGAATGAGAAGATAAAGGAGGGGAGTTCAAACACTGACTGTGGGGTCTGCCTTTTGTTTGAACCATAGGCTTTGGTTGTTCTGTTGTGGCTGAACTAGGAAGTCCTACTGAAATGCTTGTCAGTCTGTCAGAAATGTCCTCTGAACTGGCACTTAAACTTGTAGCATGTAATCCTTTTCCAGTTTTCTCTAAATGGACTGTGTGCTCAAGGGAACTGTCCTCTGGATAGCTGTTAGGGGCAGATGCCTGCAAATAGCTGTCCTGTTGACCATCCAAAGTGTCTTCTAGTCCCAACTGGATGGCCTCAGCAATTTCCACCTCATCAGCAATAGCCATCAAACGACGACGCATCCTGGTGAAGTGAGTGGAACTGGAGACACTAAGCATTTCTAACAGTTTTGAAAACACATTGGGTACTGCAGTAACCATTCTTGCAGAACTCAAATATATCCTTCGAGATAGCTTTCCCACCATGGAGTGGGAATTATCAATAGACTGCAAAGCAAAGGTTAAAAGGGACAGCAGCTTCTTATACCTGAAAAAAAAAATCACGTTCAATTACAAGTTGTATTACTGAAAAACATATGCCATTTTAAAACAATTTATAGTATATACACTTCAAAATATATTGTACAATAAAGCATCCATAAATTTTAAATTAAATAGCCTAGACTTCAGGTTCTATGTTAATCAAATACTAATTATTAGTAACTTATCTATGATCTCTGACTTTCATAAACCCAAAATATGTCATTCTCAGGTTGTGTAGCAAGAGGAAAGTTAGATATTTACAGAAGATAAATCACCTGATTTCAACAGGCTCAGCTTGTGATACATCAGTACTGACAATATGAGGATAAAATTCAGCAGGAAATTCCAACAATAGTCTATCTATAAGACAAAGACGGCCCAGGAGTTCTTGCCAGTTGTTTGATTCAGTTTGGTTTCCAAGAATACAACTTAAGACATAATCAACACCACCAATACCAATGGATCCTACAAAAGTAAAAATAAAGGATGGAAAAATAGTGACATGAACATATAAAACAAAATATGATTCAATGATAAGGTCAACAAAAATAATCTGGATTACAGAATTTGCTAGAACAATTCATACTTCTAATGAGTGAATCAATTCACTCAATCTAATTGAGTGAATCAATTTATAAAATTATTTCAAAATACTGTAATAGTCCCATGAGAAGATTATAAGATTAGAAAGGCTAAGAAAATCTTAACATGCTACATTAATTTTAAGTAAAAAATTATTACCAGCTTTAAGTATCTCTCTACCAACTGCCAATTCTCCTGCTTGCCCTTTGCACAACTCCAAAAGTGTTGATATGGACAGTTGACTTGTGCGGCTAAAAATGAAAATAAAGCAACATCAATTCTCGCACTAGGATAAAGTATCACTGATGTTAGAATAGGAATATAAAACCTGGTGAGAAAGTGGAAAGTAACATTTTAAAATTTCTTTTTAAAATTACTGTTAATATTTATTATTAGGTCTAAGTTAGTAAGAAGTTGAACCTATCATCTATGTTAAGCACAGTATCTTTAGTACTACCTTGTAGGCAACAAGAAGTGATTTAAATATTGAACCATGGCAAAAGACTTATTTTCATTACTGTGTCTTGTTAAAACAAAAAGAATGTACCTGGGCATCACAACACATGTCTCTAATCCTAGCTACTTAGAATGTGGAGTCTAAAAGATCACAAGTTTAAGGCCAGCCCAAGTAAAGTTAAAGAGTTTTTGAGGCTTGGGGGTGTGGCCCAAATGGTAGAGTACTTGCTTATTAGCATGCCTAAGGCCCTGGGTTCAATCCCCAGTACTGAAAAAAAGCAAGCTGATTCTGACATTTTTATTTTTGAACTGAGGAATCTCTTCAAGTCTGGCTGTGTTGGGTAGTACATGCATATAATACAAGCTACTCTTGGGTTGTAGGCAAGAGGACAGTGGTTCCAGGCCCACCTGGATAAAACAAAATGAGGGCCTGAGTTTATAAACAAACTTTGGAGCTAGGTTGTAGTTCAATAGTAAATGCTTGTTAAGTAAAAGGCTCTGGGTTTGATGCCAAGCACCACAAAAGCAAAACAAACCACCCGTGCCACCCAAGCCTTTATATTCTCCAAGTATCTTTACGATACTTCTTATGGTTTCAATCATCCAAACAATTACCTAGGTACTCAACTTAATTTTAGAGTTTTGTAAGGTGAGAAATACAACTGTATCCACAGTGAAATTCTCAGGAAATTACCTACCCTGACATTGAAAAATGTCATTTATCAAGTTTGTTAATTTTCCAGCTATACTATTTGGTTTAAGCAACATGAAAAATCTCCAGTACTTTAAATTTGTAGCCTTATGTAGGAAAAAAAGTATGTAAACAAAACAAAGACTCTATGATAAAGAAACTAGTCAAAGCAAGGGACCTGATTTTTGAGATTCTGTAGCTAATTCATATAATTTGGAGGTAAAGTGAAACCAAGGGAGAATTCATACTTTTTTGCCACTCAGGATCTGCTAGGATGTAAGAGATGATAATTGTGAATCTAAATTGCTATATTTAGTAAATGAAGTGACTGTTTTCTTCATGAAAGGGGTGAACACAAGAAACCTTGGTCTAACAAAAGCATGGCTGTGATCATTTGTACTGTCTCAACACCTAACACTTCATACCTTTTTCTCCAGGTTGGATTATTCTTAATTCATGTCAATTTTCAAGGACAACAGGAATATATGAAACTTTAAAAAGAAGTCATAGTTGCAGTAAAATACTATTATACTGAAAATAATGTAATGGGGCCATTTTCTGATCCAGATAAGGCATGAGGAGGTATAAGATGATTGACTCCTCACTACAATAAGATTATACCTTTTGGAGATATGTACCAACTAGTATTCTTATCAACTGGACTTCAGATTAAGAATACTATTTAAGAGAAACAATCACTATACAAAGAAGTGCAGGTCCATTCAGTTTGATAGTCTGGCTTTGCTTTCTTTTTCTCTAGCTCTTAAGAGCTTTAAGTGCTATATTTTAATTTCAAATCTCACATTAGAGAACAGTTTTCAAAGATTAATTGATTAAATATGTATCAAATAATAGGCTTGGTGCTAGGAACTTTTAGTACCACACAGTTTCAAATGGGTTCCATCAAAAAGGTCTTACCTATTGGCATCTGCACACTTGACTAGGATGGTGTCAACAACTGGTCGGAGAAGTCTCTGAAGTTTGATTCTTTCTGCCAAACTGTGGCAAGGAGTATATACCAGCATGGCTCTCAATGTTTTCTGAGGAGAAAAAACTAAAGGTCAGTTTAATTATGTTTATAAAACATGAGAGACAGGGTCTAATCTGAGCAATCAAATAAATAGTGATAGGAGTAGGATTCTAACAAAAAGCAGTGGTAATCAAAGCAATAAGAAACAATGACTTTTTACAATGTGATAAGCATTATGATTAGGGGGTTCTAAAATATACATCAAAATCTAACAAGTAAATAAGTATTTGAATTATTTTGTAGGTGAGTAAACTAAAGTTGAAGAAATCTTAGTTTTTTCTAAAGTTGTACTACTTGCAAATGGGAAGCCTAGGATTTGAATCAAGGATCCCCCAATGTGCTCTATATACTAATTGCCTACACTTGTTTTAGTTTATCTAGTATGTTATTCATATGTTCTAGTTGTGATGATAATTTCTGAAGTTACTCAATCTGGCCCCAAAACTGTGTTTAGAACCATCATGCTAAATTTCTCCTGAAGATTCATGAGTTCCAACTGTTAGGACATGGATCAGAATAAAAGATATCAAGAAGAGATGGAATTTTGGCATTAGACTAGATAGAATTATTCTAAAGCCGTGATTCTGCAGTGGGGCTAATTCTGAATGCCAAGGACTATTTGGCAGTGCAAGGAGACACCCTTAGTTGTCATGAAGGGGGGGGGAACTGTATAGGTAAGGTAGGGAAAGGTTTGTTTTTGGTATCTAATGTACAGAAGCCATGCATGCTGTTAAATATCCTACAGTGCACAAGACAGCACTGTGGTTCCACCTGTCTCTGACCAAATATTATGTGGCCAAGGACAATAGGGTCAACGTTGAGGAAAAGTGGTCTAGAAAGAGACACACTCACAATGGAGGTAAAATTAGTCTCTAACTCTACATCACTATTCCATTCAAGAAAGAACATCTAACAAGATAGACCAGAAAAAACTGTGTCTGAGGTCTGGGAAGGTGGCTCAGTGGTAGAGCGCTTGCCTTGCATGCATGAGGCCCTGGGGTTGATTCCTCAGCACCACATAAGCAAAAAGAAAAAAATCCCAGAAGTGGCGCTGTGGCTCAAGTGGTAGAGTGCTAGCCTTGAGCTGAAGAGCTGAGGGACAGTGCCCAGGCCCAGATTCAGGCCCCAGGACCAGACCCCCCCCCCAAAAAAAAAAAAACAAGAACAAAAACCTGTATCTGACACCGAACCCTCTTCTCTGAAAGTCTTCTGAATTTTAATGTTTATTAAAATTAAGCAAAATTTTTATTAAACATAAATTATCCTTAAAGTTAACACAATATCAAAACATTTTAAATTTAACTTTACTGTCCCATAATATATTTTTAGTCATGTATGAGAAACCTGCTGAAGGAATCATGAATATCAAGACACTGTTACTTGAAGGGAGAAAAGCAAACAGTACCTTAGATAATCTGAAAAGGCTAAAATCAGTAGAATTCAAACTCTACCACTGAGCCACCTTCCCAGCCCAAGTAGCTTTATTGTACCTTCTGTTTGTTTGTCAGTATTTAGCTCTGGCTAGCTTCAAACTCGTAATACTCATCCCTCAGCCTTCTGAGTGCCGGGATTATAGGCATACATCACCATGAACAATTGCTGCCTTACTGAATATTAAAAAATAATAGTCTATAGGATAACCATAAGGATATGGTTAGGAAATAAAGCTACTTACTAAAGCAGCAACATACACTTTGTAGACAGGGTCAGCACAGACGATTGACAAGACACTGCAGCATGCCTCCACTACGTCTCCTGAGATGCTGGTCTGGGAAGATCCACTGAAGGCTCCAGCACTTGGGCTGCCTCCACCACTGCTCCCAGAACTTCCAGTGCTCTCCCCATTCGCCAACAGCAGGGCCCCACTAACGTCATGGGAGAGGCGCCTGAGGGCCATTTCTCTTACATTCCAGTTTCTAGAAAATAAGCAGCCAACGAGTTCCATTCCGAACACCTATATAAAACAAACACATGTGAAGAGAAATGAATGAACCCATACTATAATATTAAGTACAATTTTTTGATTATTGAAGAAAAATTGGGCCAGGTATGGTGGTATATGCCTGTCCATAATCCCAGCTACTCAGGAGATGAATATCAGGAGGATTGTGGTTTAAAGCCAGCCTGGGAAAAACTGGCAAAACCTCACTTTAGCAAAAAACTGGGAGTGGTGGAGTATGTATCTTGATCCCAGTTATTGGGAGACACAGGTAGAAGGAATTATGGTCCCAAACTGGCTCCAGGCAAAAACACAAGACCTTATCCAAAAAAATAACTAGAGCAAAAAGGCCAAGAGGTATGGCTCAAGGGCCAGAGTGCCTACTAACGCAAGTATACCAGGAGTTCAAATCCCAGTACACACACACACAAAATAAAAATCTTTCAAATCTACATTCCTATTAGGATAGTTCAAGAGAAAAATCAAGAACCAAATCAACACCAGGTGCCAGTGGCTCATGCCTGTAATCCTAGCTATTCAGGAGGCTGATATCTGATGGTTGAGGTGACCTGAGTAGAAAACTCCATTAAGACTCTTATCTCCAATAAGCCACTCAGAAAAAGCAGGAAGTGGCACTGTGGCTCAAGTGGTAGAGTGTTAGCCTTGAGCACAAAGAGGCTCCCTGAGTTCAAGCCCAGGATTGGAAAAACAAAACAATACAAAACAAACCAGAGCCAAATCAAAACAGGCACTAAAGTGAGGTTTTAATACTTCCCTCAGAGTGACAGTGGTACTTACTGCAAGCATATATTTATTTGATTTTATTCAAAAGGATAAAAAATAGGTGAGGCTACGATGAGGTAAAAAGAACTACAGAAAAAGAAGTCTGTATAAAAGTAGCAAGTCAAAAAGCTAAGGGACAGCCAGGCCCTGAGTTCAAAATCCAGTATGGAAACAAACAAAAAACCCTAAAAAACAAAAATAAATAAAAACCAGCAAAAGACAAAGTTGTACCCGGAATAATGTATACACTGTTACAGCCCTCACTACCAGGTCTGAAAAGCCTCAGAGTCTCTAAGAAAAACAGTATTGACATTATGGGTCAATTATCTAAAAGCAAGCTCACTATCAAAGGTAAGTTATTATGTGAAAAAATGTCAAGTATTTATGAATAAGTAAGTCTGGAGAAAACAAATGATGACCTATTCACATGTATTTTGATATAAAGGGACCACAAAGGAGAATAAAACACTATCCCTATAATAGATTTTCCTTCCTGGATTGGGGTACTGAGGTTTGAACTCAGAACCCACACTTGCCAGGCAAGTGCTACTACTATTTGGGCCAGCCCCGCAGTCCTCAAGAATTAATTGTTTTACCTGATATTCCAATTCCTTATATGATAGCTCAAATTAAAGCTTGAGTAAAGAAAATATAGACCACGGTTTTAAAAGAGTAACAGCTAATAGCTCAGAACCAGCTCAAGAGTAAAAGATTCCTGAAGAAGCAGGTGAGGGCCCACATAAAGTGACATTTATAAACTAGATAAAAGAACTAAGAGGTCCATATTTTGTGGATTTTTATAAGATTCATAATGGTCACAACATGTTGAAATAGCGAATTCCAAAGCTGTTGTACTATAAAGGTCACAAAAAGTTAAAAAGGAAATTCTGATGAGAGAGATGCTTAGTGAATTAATGCATCTATTCATGAATTTAATAGCATTTAATATCACTTTAATAGACTATCAAAATAATTTTACATCACTGCTGTTTACTGGATCTTATAGTAACACACTAAACAGCAACCAAGAAAATCATTATAAAGCAACACCCAGCTCAACTTCTATGTAATAAGGATGAAAAGAGTTAAAAAAATGTAAACTTGACTTTACAAACAAGAATGCCTAATTCAAGGTAAATATCATATTTGTTTTAGCTATCCTCTCAGCCAAGAGCTCATTACATGCTCTTGAGATGCAGAAATGAGAAACTGTTTAAGTGGTAGTAAATAAGAAACATGGCAGAATTTGTTGGTAAGAATGGGGATTAAATATTGGAAAAAGCACTAAAGAATTCTAGTTTCTTTCTTTTATGTTCGTTCAGGAAGAAATGTTTCTAGAGATGAGATGAGAAATTCTGAAGGATGTTTGAAGCTTAAGCTGTATCGTAAGCAGGAAAATATTAATACCAGAAGTAAAATTAAAATTGTTAGTGGACTAAGAGTCATGATAAAGGTAAACAAAAGCCTTCAATATAAACTACTGAGGACAGGGGACAGACACAAACTGATATTTCTGTAAGTTTCTTGACAATGAAAACCAGAACTGCTTACCTGAATCCACGGCTCAGCTAAATCTTTATAAGCAGGAGGGATCTGCTGAGTTCCATAATGAGTAAGGTTAAAATTGCTCTCTTGAGTCCTTCTTTGTGATCCAGCCAAAGTCTGCTGCTGTACTGTTCGCAGGGAAGAAGGGGAATCCACAGGGCTTGACAACTCATGGCTGAAAAAAAAATAACAAAAAGCTTGCTAAAAACATTAACAGATTTCAACTGTAATTTGGGAATTGCATTTTTGTTTTGAGACAGTCTTGCTTTGTAGCCTGGTATGGTCTTCACATACAATTCTCTTGGTTCCACCTCCCAAGTGCTGAGATTACAAGTATGCACCACCATGCCCAGCTAGAGAGCATTTTACCTTTTAAAATTAAACATATATATGCATATATATGTAATGAATTCAAAATAATTACCTGTAGAAATCATGGGATCTCCATTTAGACCTACAAAGGGGACATATTAAAGGTTCTCTATTTCTTCTACATTCTTCTGCCCCTGAAAAATTAAAAAGAAAATCTTACAAAATGTAAATGTTTAACATAAGTATTTTATGTCACACTGTTCATAAGGGTTAGTACAGGACTGATAAAACATTAATCTGAGAGCAGGCAAACAGCAGGTTAAATTATTCTTATCCTTGTATGTTTTACAAATCCTGTTTTTACTAGTTATGACAACACACTCTTAGCTTATAGTCTTTCAAAATGTTCTGCCTCACTTGATTACCTGGCCCGGTCATATATTCTAAGACTTGCTTTGACATTCCCTTTTCTGTACAGCCTGCCCAAGTCTTCCTCTTCTTTCTCCCCCACTATGTACACCTTCCAGGTTGGAACTTATTTAAACTCTGTGCATGCCTTCCATTTCCATGTGGATCACACTACATGGATTTCTTTGCTCACATAAATTATTTCCTAAAAGATCCAACTCCAATTTGTTGAAAACTTTACCTATGCCGTAGAGAGACTTTTTCCCCTGCTCTCACTGATCTCCCCAGAAGCCATGTTATAATCCTAAGCATGGTAGTTAGCTAGAGAGTAACTCTGTTGAGTGAGTACAGGGAGAAGTCACCTACAGATTGACATGCAGTGGTGGTGCAGCTTGTTCCTACAGCCATCTTCACATACTGTAAGACTTTCCTCATCAAGCATGCCCAATAAGCAAATGGGACACATCTGCTCCTCCTCATCTTTTATGCTGTAAAGGGAAGCAAAAATACTAAGTACAAAAGAATATAAGACAGACTTATACCATATGCTAATCAGAACTATCATTCTTTACAATCTGAATACATAAATTAGAAATTCTTGTTTAAGAGTGTCTTCTATTATTTTGCAGGATACTTGGATCTCCTATTAAAACATAGTAACTTTAATTAGATTCACATACAGTATATCTGTATATCATGGGAATGAATATAGTGTGTCTTTCTATAAATCCAATCAACATATAACTTATAATCTGTCAAAGAGAGTTGTACCCCTAAAACTTGAGATCCTTCTTCAGCACCTCAAATGCTGACATTAAAGATGTATAGCCTTATACTTAGCTGTTTTTCATTTTTTTCTTTTTGTGCTGGTATTAGGGCTTAAATTAGGGGTCTTACACTACTGACTTGCTGCTTACTCATGGCTAGCACTCTACCCACACCTTGAGCCTGGCATTTTGTTGATTTATTAGAAATAGTTTCAAGGCCTTTTATTTGCCTAGATTGGCTTTGAATTTTGATACTCTAAGCTCAGCTTCTTGAGTAGCTAGGATTACAAGTAGGTCACAACGTCTGGGTTTCACAGTAAAAAAAAAAATCCAAACATCTGTCAATGGGCACTTGGGTTGCTTCTACCATGAATATAATCTTTAGATGGTGGCAAATTTTCTAGATTGATATCAACTAGCAGAACCTTGATATCCAAGGGTATATGGTTCTAAAGAGACCAGCTGTTGAAAAACAGCTAATGTTCAGTGTGTACAGAGAGTTCAGTACTGGATTATAGATGATTGATTCAGTTTCCCATAATGATGCTCAACTGCTAAAGACATGCTGTCGTCAACAAATCTAAAATCTTAAACTCCCCCCCCCCCACTTTGGTGTTTGTCTTAGGGCTTGAACTCAGGGCCTGGGCTCTTGTCCCTGACTGTTCTTGCACAGGCTAGTGCTCTACCACTTGAACTACAGCTCCACTCCAGCTTTTTGGTGGATAATTGGAGAGAAGTGTGCCCATGGATTTTCCTGCCCAAGCTGGCTTCAGCCTCCTGAGAAGCTAGGATTGTAGGTGTAAGCCACTGGTGTCAGGCCCTAAAATTTTCACTTTAATTACTTCACTTGCAGCACCCTGCTTTTTGGGCATCATTTACTTCTCTGGGAAGCAATTTTCACAAAATTAAGGGCAAGAAGACAGGGCAACAATTTGAACACAATGTGGGACTGATGAGAGCTTTTCCATATCCACCTAGCTGTGTAATATGCACATGGGAATTTAAATTGTGTGTAGTATTTGGGGGTTGAACTCAGGGTCTTGTGCTCCTGCTTCCCCCCCCCCCCTCAACTCAAGGCCTGGGTGTTGTCCCCAGGCCTCTTTGTGCTCAAGTCTAGAGCTCTACCACTTGAGCCACACTGCCACTTCTGCTTTTTTCTGAATAGTTTATTAGATATAAGAATCTCATGGCCTTTCCTGCCTGAGCTGGCTTCAAACCTCCAATTTCAGCCTCCTGGATAGCTAGGATTACAGGCACGAACCATTGGCATTCAGCTTGCTTAGCTTTTTCTCAAGACTGGCAATCTACCACTTGAGCCACACCTCCATTTCTGGCATTTTGCTGGTTAACTGAAGATAAGAGTTTCATGGACTTATCTATCCAAGTTGGGCAGGTTCCTCTTTGGAATTTTATTATTTATTTTCTGGTGAGGTTTTATTATATTTGGTAAGTATTTTCAACTTGTCCTAATTCTCTTAATTACTGCTTCTAAAGCATCCCTTACAATTTTTAGGAAATTAGCCAGGTGCTGGTAGCTTGTGCCTGTAATCCCAGGTAGCTTGTGCCTGTAATCCCAGATACTTAGGAGGCAGAGATCTGAGATCACAGTTAAAATGAGAGGTAGGAGAATGAGTCCTGAGTCAGGAGCCTAGACACCCAAGTTCTGGTTATGCTTTCACTCAAATGAGTGAATAGCATGGAATATAATAAAGTTCAAATGAATTACTATAACATTAGTCACTTGAAAAAAATTTTATGTTTGTCATTCTGGCCTTCTTGTCAGATACTCAAGTTTATGAATTCATTCTGTTAGGCAATGAAAAGCTTGAGAAGATTTTTAAGTATCTACTGTGACTAATACCTACTGCTTCTCTTAGTTACAATCTATCGGCCTATTTAGAACATGCTTATATTCTCACAGGTAAAACAGGTTGTAGAGGACTCTCCGAAGATGCCTATGAAAGTAGTGCAATGTTATGCAATTTAAAATCTTATAGTTGAAAGTGGTTGCGGAGAACCACTTTGACTTCTGTATAGATTACTTACAGAATAGCAGACCTTTCCTTCCATCTCTCAGTTTTCCCTCAACTTCATCATTTGTGATAAAACCTATCTAAGAAGACTGTTGTAAGAATAGAATAATGTACCTGGTGCTTGGCAAGGTAATGAATGGAGTACCTACTTACCATTTTGTATCGGCCACCTGATTTTCCATATAAAATACATATTCATGTGCCATTTTCAATGCTGTAAGTTATTTATTTATTTGGTGGAACTGAAATTTGAACTCAGCACCTGATAGATAACTTTTCTACTACTTGAGCCATGTCCCCATGCTTTAGTTCTCAGACAGAATCTGATACAAGGCTCTAAGAGATAGGATAGACCCTTCAAAACCAACCCCATACCATGATCCTCCTACTTATAATAGATGTATACCACTACACTCAGCTTATTGGTTGAAACAAGGTTTTGTTAACATTTTGCCTTAGGCTGGCCTCTAACCATTATCCTCCAGATCTTCTACTTACCAAATAGTTGGAATTGTAGGCATGAACCAACCAAGCCTGGCCCTTCAATGTTGCAGTTTTTAGAACAAAATGTCCTCAAATGATCTTTAATATCCTTTATCCTTAATTTTAATACGAAAGCCAAGATTTAATAGTGAAATTATTCTGAGCAATGTAACTAGACACACACATATGTATTTTAACATCCTAAAATTAAAAAGTTAACACTACATTAATGCTTACTTCTTTAAAAAATACTAACCTGTTTTCTGAACTAGATGTAGAAGTACTAGATGAGGACAATGTATGAGAATTGGACATGCGTGAAACAAACTTCTGGATGGTGTTACGAGATGGAGCTTTGATTCTCGAGCTACGTCTACTATGATATTTCTGGAACAAACTCTCAACCTAACATTGGGAAAAGACAATGTCAATGATAAATGAGCCACAATTATAAATATATATATACATATGTATATATAATAGAGTTTTAGAGGTTGAGGTTGAATAATTTTTTATTTGTACCTATTTTTAATAAAGCTGATTTAAGAGAAAGAGATTCAAAATAAGAACACATGTAGTTTACAAAGGACAATTATTTTTATAGAAAGTTAGTGTTTCTCAATTTAGAAGGAAAAATGTTTATTATTCAATAAATTATAAAGACACTTAAAATATTCAATTACACTTTCAAAAATGTTAGTTATCTATTTAAATTTAGTACTCAAGGAAAAATTTCAGTAAATGTACCACAAAAAATTGCTGTCAGTTTTACCCATAGCATTTATTTTTAAAATTACCTCAAAATTCTTTAAAGTTTTTCTCCACAACATAGGGTCTGAAGGTTCTAGCTGAAACACCCGGAGCATAACGAACAGCAGATGAATGCAAAATGTCCCACGCCCACAGCTGCAGTTCTGAAGAAGTCAGAGAAAACCTCTGCATTAATAAATCTGTCATTCAACTAAAACCTCTAAGCTGATCACTTTGTTTTATAGTATAAGTTTATTTTACTAAAGTTTCTTCTAATTTATAATCTTCATTATCTTCATATATGTCTACTGACAGTTATATGAATTGACCTATTTTCAATGAACTTAGTAAGTACATAAAATTTATCCTACTTAAGGTACTGTCCTAGTAAAAACCTCATAAATACATCTTGGAAAAATATTTATTAGCCCAAAATACAGTGAAACTCACTTTAGTTTACTAAAGGGGAATTAACTGTACTCAGTTTAATAACTGTATAAGGTTTGGTATATGGCTTGGTAATAGAGCGCTTGCATAGTATGCCCGAGTCCCAATCTCCAACACTGGAATGAACAGAACAACAAAAAGAACCTTATAGGTAAATAGGAATTAATAAATGTAAAATAGTGACAAACCCTACCTGTGGCCCAATAAAGACGCGGTATTTATTGTCGGGGCTGTCGCCTCCAATCAAGAAGGAGTTGGGTCCTATTTGCTGCAGTAAGTAAAGCCTGGCCCGCATCACTTTGTTCACACGGCGGCTGGTCTCCTCGGGGCTGTACGGGGAAAAGCCATCTGGTGAAGGGGCTCTTCGGGGTGGTGTGGTTCTGCCACTCTGAAACTTTATTCACAATATTGGTTTGTATTAGGTAACTTTCTCACTCTTGATAAGAAACTAACCCAACAAAAAAGGTCATACTGAATAGTCACATGGCAGACTAAATTCTGCAAAACTACCCCAGTGTGTAAAGTATAATGAAACAATGTCAGGCAAGATGTTGCTGTCTGACAAACTTGTCTTGGGAGGACTTTTAGCATTTTAGTCATTTCCACAACTGGGAATGATAAATTACTCTATAAACATCTGAATTCCTTGAAATATATTAAATATACCAAAATTAAAAGTGTAGAAAATAAACACCAAAAACAGGCAAAATGACTGTCTAGAAGTAAAAACTAAATATCCAGTTTGCTGGCTTCTAGGTAGGTAGACGCTCTTCCCAAGTTTCACCGTAGATTCTTCTTCAATTAAAACATCTTACTGGAATATATTTTAATACTTTCTACTTTGTTTATTAAGCAGTATGTTTATAAGCAGTGTTGAGATAGGATAGTACTATTTAAAAAAACTCTCAGTATTTGGCAGTACTAAATTTAGAATTGTATTTAACTATTATGTACTAACACTCATGAATAAAGTGGCCTAAAATACAAAGTAAGAATTAGATAAGGAAAGATGATACAAAAAAAAAAACACCCCCAAAAATATCTTACTGGAGATTGGCAAAAACTCCTGTGGTTAGAATGTGGTTACCACATTCCATATTTTCTTAAAACCTGGTCTTCCCATCAATACCAGTGGGAATTCTGGTTGCTTTGGACACTTGGACTCAATAGTTAATAAAATTGGAAAGAACATGAAGCCACCAGAACTCTTTGGTAAATGTAAAGAATACAGTTGCTCTGGGAAACAATACAGCAATTCTTCAAAATATTTAAGGTATCACCCAGTAACTCAATACCTAGGTATGAACCCATGAGAAATTGAATGTATGTCTACCCCAAATCTTATATACAAATATTCACAGCAACATTATCCATAATAACCAAAAATAGGAACAGCCCAATTGGGCTTTTTTTTATAGAAAGCTAGATAGATCGACAGAATCTGCAAATGAAAATTGAGTACTCATGCATACTGTAACAATAATGAACCATGAAAATAAGTGAAAAAAACTAGTCATAAAAGACTACCCATTAATGATTCCATTTATATCAAATGTCCAAAAGTGGCAAATATATAGTGAGGCAGAAAACAGATTAGTCACTGCCTAAATCTTGGTTAGAAACTGCTGTTAACAGGAAAACTTTATAGAAAAGAAACTTAACAGTATATTTGAACAAAGAATAATTCATGAATCAATCAGGCAGCACTCAAAACCAGAGGAGTCTCAGGGAACTTTGATTTAGCACAGTGAATAGCTTGCTTTTATAGGCTACACACTAAATTGAGTAAAAAAATTACTGAACTGTCTATAGGGAGACATTTGCCTTCCCTGGGCATGTATGATGGAAGTTCTTAGTAATATAACCCACTAGGCTGGTTGGTTGATTTATTGAAGCTTGGTCTGATTTCTAAGTACAGAAACAACTCCAGTTACTTATTTTGATTTGAAGTGGGTTTTTTTTTTTTGACAGAAGGAAGCAAGGGACGTATATCTTGGGTATTAGCAGTAGCAGATGCAAAGGGCAGCAGATAAGTCCTGCTGAGCTCCGCTCAGTTCTCCTACTCAGGAGTTATATAATAACTATCATATTTGTAACAAAATTGTGCCTTTAAAAAAGAAGGATTTAAGTGCTTAGTAATTTCAAATCTGAGAAAACCAAAAGTCCTTGATGTGGTCACTGTCTCAATCACTTTTCCCATTCACTCATTTGCTATCCAAGCTGGGAAAGGGAGTTTAATATGCATTCCCACCACTGTACAAGTCTCTCATGAACACAACCTGAGTTGCAAGCTGAATTACTTTTCTATATTAAATCATATACAGAGTATATCTGTTTTGTTATTAAGGCACCAAGAAGTGGGCCCACTGTTTGTGGTTTGGTTTTGTTTTTTGGTGGTCCTGGGGTTAACTCAGGGCTTTGTACTTGGTAAGCAGGTATTCTACCACTTGAGCCTGTTTTTTGCTTTAGTCTCATGTTTTTGGCTAGGACTGGTGATCCTCCTACCTACCTCTCCCACACACTATATAGATTATAGATGTGTACCAACAGGCCCTGCTTGTTTTTGGTTTTGTTTTTTTGAGATAAAATCAAATTTTTTTACCAGTTAATCTGGTAAATCTGGGTTAATCTGAAACCACCATCCTCAAGATCACTACCTTCTGAGGGGATTACAGATGTGAGCTATCATATCCAGCCCAAAAGAGGTTTCATAAAGCCACTATCTTTTCCCATCATTTCTTAAAATCCAGATGATATATTTTACATTTTGAATGGATCTTATGGATAATTTTGTTTTTTTTTTATTTTATTTGTGAACATACTGTATAGAGGGGTTACAATTACATGGGCAGGATAATGCGTACATTTCTTACCAAGCATTGCAGCCTCCTCCTTTGGTTTACCCTTCACATCCCTTCCCAGCCTCCCCCCTCCCCCCCAATCCCAACCCTTCTTCTCCTCCCCCTTCCCCCCCCCCCAACCGACATTGTAAAGCTCGTTTTGGACATGACAACTTATACTTCTCGTTGTTGCATCAGGTCCACCTGTATCCTTAAACAACTGGTTTTTCCCCTGGATAATTTTGTTTTATCACATACTGATCATTTGGAAAATACTGGCTTACCACATTACAGAGATCTTTTAAATTTTCACAAATGGAATAGTCTTATTTAATTCACCTTAAGGAAAATATCTATCAAATACCCATGTGTTAGTCATTCTTTCAAATAGTAATATTGTTCTATGTAAATGACAACTAGTTTGCAATTTTTATATCTGCATTAATGTTTTTATTTGAATAAATTACTGAGTTTGGGGGTATAGAAGAAACACTTTACACACAGTTCCCATTTCTTTACCCAATAGTAACAAGCACATATTTAGTAACAATTGAGACTTAGAAAACTAATTTCTATTTCTTTGACAAAGGCATTCTTCAATGAAAATAACTCTTGCATTAATTTGAAGGCCAAGACATGATAATGAAGTATACAGATTCTATCCTCAGCCTCAACTGTGGTGAAGGCACTGGCAGCTTTACCCACCACTGAAATTACTAATACAGTGAAAGAGGCAGACAATTTATCAGTTTTAACATAGAACTACTATTCATCCAGTAGACTCCCAGTAAGGAGTCCTTCCCCTCACGTTCCATTAGTCTTTAGATCACACTTTGAAAAGTGCCACACTAAAAGTTGGCTGAAAAACCATTTCTGTGTTATAAATGAGTCTGTCAAAATGTTTACTTACAGGCACTGGGGAAACTCGCTTTCTCCTTACTCCTGGAGATTCTGATTTCACCGTACGACCTGATGGGGAGCTGCTGGGAGATGGGCTGCGTCGGCCCTTGGGGGCTGGTGAAGTGGCACTGGCCCGGCCTTCTCCTTGAGACTCAGCCGCTAAGGTATTTATTTCGGATCCATCTCCTTTAATAGGGATTGGTTTTACCACCTGAATCAAAAGTATTCAATATTTTGAATATTTAAAAATATGAAAGTATAACTGGACATCATAGAAAATAAACTTTTTGTTTTTATTAGTCTTATGTAGCTGAACAAAGGGGTTTCAATTCACCATGCCAGTTTGATCCGTGTCACTCCTTTCATCATTCTTCCCCATCTCTTCCCACCTCACTGATTTGAGTTACAAAACTTAATACATTATATCAGAAAATAGACCAAATTCTATTTGGTATTAGTTTAAGTCAATAATGTTAAGAAATATTTTTACTTACATAAATGCCAGTCCTTTAGGATTTATACTAAATTGTGTAAAGTTTTATGTACTACCTGTTACCAAATTTCCCAACTCACTTTACATTCAAAATCAATGATCACGAGTTTGTAAATAAATTTGAAAAAGTCACATAAGTTCTACTACTGATTTATGGAATGAAGTTGGAAGATGCTAGAAGATTAAAAACTAATTAGCAGAAATGCAGTTTGCATGACTATCTTACCTCAACATACAAACGTGTATATTTTATTATTAGGGCTAACAGATTAATTTAGCTGTGGATATAAGGCAAACCTTCAGCCCCAATATGGTTGGAATCTAGTAGACCTTTATGGCCTTCCTCCCTCTACTCCTGTGCTATAGCCACGAGTCTTGCCCAGATAGCACAATTTCACAAGAGGAAAACTCAATATCTTTTAAGACTTGGTTGAAATCTAACCTTTCGTAACTTCACCCCTGCCCTGCCCCTGAATTCTACCAGCCTGACATTCTCTTTTCCTAGTTCCTTATTGCTCTTCTCAACAACTCACACACTGGGTATCTAGCCATAGCCATAAAATGGTTTGTAATACTTCATATATTACTTTAGGAAGGTGTGTGTAGGAGGGTGTGTGTGTGTTGGTACTGGGGCTGAACAACTCACACACTGGGTATCTGGCCATAGCCATAAAATGGTTTGTAATACTTCATATATTACTTTAGGAGGGTGTGTGTAGGAGGGTGTGTGTGTGTGTGTGTGTGTGTGTGTGTGTGTGTGTGTGTGTGTGTTGGTACTGGGGCTGAACAACTCACACACTGGATATCTAGCCATAAAATGGTGTGTGTGTAGGAGGGTGTGTATGTGTGTGTTGGTACTGGGGCTGAACAACTCACACACTGGGTATCTAGCCATAAAATGGTGTGTGTGTGTGTGTGTGTGTGTGTGTGTGTTGGTACTGGGGCTGAACAACTCACACACTGGGTATCTAGCCATAAAATGGTGTGTGTGTGTTGGTACTGGGGCTTGAACTCAGCCTGGGTACTGTCCCTAAGCTTTCTTGCTTAAGGTGAATCTTCTACCACTTGAGTCATAGCTCCACTTCTGTTTTTGTTTTTTGTTCTTGTGGTTAATTGGAGATAGAATCTCACTGACTTTCCTGGCCAAGCTGGCTTCAAACTGTGATCCTCTTCTAAGATCTCAGCTTCCTGACTAGCTAGGATTACAGGTATGAGCTACCAATGCCCAATTATCACGTTAGCTTTAGTTTCCCATTTGAAAATTTATTTCATAAATTTCAAGAAGTTTTGATGTAACTTACATAAAACATAGTAAAAATAAATTTAAAGTTATTTCACTAAGTAGGCTGTTTGAAATCTGTCAAATATAAAATGCAGATTAATCTTAAGGAATACATGTTATGTATCTCATTCTAATCTCTTCCCTTTTCATTTTCTGCTCTATTTTCACTGAGAAGGTACTCAAGTATATGCAGGAAAGAAGGCAGTGGGGAAAAAAAACTAGCCCTTAGAAAACTGGGTATTAGCTCTTCTGAAATAAAGGATAAATGTTGGCTGCTCTGTACATACAGTGTTGTGATTTCTCAAAGGAGTTGGGAGATAGAGCAGCACCTTTAATTATTCAAAGGTTCCTTATACCTACTGAGTAGCCATCTACCCCTTTAACTGCCACCTCTACAAGATGTTTCAATAGAAAGTTCTCTAAGATTAAGTCCTTGACTTTCCCATCTTCTACCATGAAGAATTAAAATGATGAAGGTTCCCATCATATACCACATGTGAACAAGAAATGCAGAAGCTTAGTTGGGAAGAAAAGGACTTACATGTGCTCTAGGTAGTCCACCATGTAGATGACACCCATTTATTCTCTATAGCTCCATGGGTTCAAATTAGAATCACTGAGTAGGCTATGTGTAACAGACTGCAGCTCAATGAAGTATGTGCAAAGCTTTAAGGGCGCTTGAGACATTTAAAAAGAGCCCGGGCATTGCTAGATCTCTAACAGGCTGGGAGATGGGACCGCTCACCCCAGTGGCAGTCACTAGCCACTTGAGGGTACAGCATTTGGAATGTGGTTAGTTGGACTGAAGAATTCTATGTTTACTTTTATGTTCAGTTAATTTAAATTTAACTAAGGCCCATGTTAAACTCATTTGGCATGAGTTTAGTTTAGATCCTTTGCTGTGTTGCCATTTCTGTTTAAAAAACAAATATAAACAAACATGCTGTTACAGATTAGTGAGGAAACTTCCTTCATAGGAATGTAGAAGCACACTGCATAATACTTCTCTTTGTTTTTGTGCTAGTCCTGGGGCTTGAACTCAGGGCCTGGGTGCTGTCCCTGAGTTTTTTTGCTCAAGGCTTATGCTCTACTAATCGAGTCATGGCTCTACTTATGGCTTTTTGATGGTTAACTGCAGATAAAGAGTTTCATGGACTTTCCTACCCAGGCTGGCTTCAAACTGCAATTCTCAGATCTCAGCTTCTTGAGTAGCTAGGATTACAGGTGTCAGCCACCTAACATCAAGCATCAAGCACCAATTATCATAATGCTACTATTAAAGTTTAACCAGGGAAAAGGATAGAGTATTCCTGCTTTGCCTAACCTAGATACCTAGGATTTCTTTTAATTTATCTTCAATCCCACAGTCAATTTTTTTTTGCTTTTTTGGAAATTTTCTGGAATTAGACTCCTTCTGTCAGCCTTGGGAGATAACACATCTTATGTAAAGTTGAAAACGCTCTAAGTTAGAATGTGCAGTACAGAAGTCAGGTAAAAGGATAAGGATTTTAGATACTGACATTAGAGGGCAGTGTTGCTAAAAGATTTACCAGTCCTCTACCAACTAAAGTTTCTATAACATTTTAAGTTGCTTAATGAACAATTTACAGTATGTCTTATTTCAAATGGTCAGAACATGAAGCAAATGAAAATGCTGCATTTCGAATGAAGAAACAAAAGTATAGAGGAGCCTATTTTGCTGGTTTCCATTTCCCCCAGCCTCTGTCCTGTGGGCTCCCTGGCCACTCACCACAGGGCCTCTCCTGTTTCTCCTCTCCAACCACTCGTGCTTCCAGGCAGGCATACAGGTGGCCTTCAGCTTCTCCCTGATCATCCTCTCCTCCGGGCGATCATCCATCTTGTGCAGCCCTTTCAGAGTTTCTTTATTCTCCATTTCTCGACTAAAATAGAGGAGAAGTAAGAGGAGTAAGTACTCTACATATGAAAAATAACTTCCAAAACCAAGTAGAACAGTATGGTTCATACTTCCAACAAACATGCAACCAAAATGATAGCTGCTAAAACCCCCAGTTTTGTGCTGTTGAACTTATAGAGAGAAGCTGAAGGTTTATTAATAACATTAATGTCGACCTTTATTTCCAGACAGTTACCCTAGGGGATCGTTAGCGTAAGCTTATACATTTGCTCAGTAAATACTTAAGGAAAGCTTAGATTTACAGGAAGCCACTTTTGTGAGCTGAATGCAAACTCTTCACTTAGAAGTCTCTTGAATGAGAGGCAACTTTCCCTCTGGGCAACAATGCTGTAGTTATGGATAGGGTTCCCAGACTAGTCATAGTATAACTGAAGGGCATTTTATTACCAGAAGTTCCTGAACTCCCAGAGGAAGGTTCTTATCCACATGTCTCTCCTTCCCCAATCTGTTTCAGAAGGGTCTGCATTTTCAGCACCTCTGTTTCTGGCCCTCACTCAGACACTGTCAAAGGCCTTCTTGGATGATACAAATAAACTCTGAAGAGTTTTTATTTGCAATGAAGAGCCTGACAGAGGCATGACTTGCCTCTTGTCTTCCCCTATGTTAGAAAATACTATATTTGAAACAGAGCCTTGATCGTCAGCTGAGCCTGGCTTTGAATTTATAATCCTGTTTCAGCTTCCAAAGTGCTGGGATTACAGGTATGCACTGCCATACCCAACCCAAAATACTGTAATTTTAAAGCTAAGATATAAACAATATGGATATGCATACTAGCAGTAAAACTTTTGTACTTTATTATTTTTTGAGAATACCCAGAAACAGAATTGCTGAGTCCAATGTATGCAAATCAAGACTTGTGCTAATACTTTTGAAAGTACGTTCAAGAAAACTATCTTCCATTCACACTGTACCAGGCTGAGTCGCTAACTTATGTGGTCTGAACTAGCAACAGGCTCCTAGAGAGCTGCTTCTGTCTCATCCAGGCCTCACAGACCCACCAGGATCACCTTACCTTTAAACATCTAATAGCTTCCCTCTGGGCTTGGAATAATTTCAGAATGTTTGGCACAGCCAAACGTCTGAGGTGATCTGCTCTCATCAAGACCTCACTACACCAGCCCCTCCCAGAACTCCAGGATCTTTCCTGCTCAGGGCTTCTTTCTGCTCAGGCAGTTTCTTGTTCTGCTACTTTAGTGCCTACTTATTTTATACTGACTCTTTAAGTTTTCCTCAACTCCTCAGAGACCTTCTGAGTCTCAATTAGGAACACCCACCCAGTTGTTTTCTGTACTTTTCCTCCAAAGAGATCATGGCAATTTGTAAAGCATCCCTCCTTTTCTCCTTTCCTTACCAACTACAGGCTCCATCAGGGATACATGCAGTTTTATCTAGATGTATTCAAACATCTAAACATGTTTGGCTCATAATAGAAGTTAACACATATACTAAATGAACTATCATTTACCAGCACCTATGGCAGTCCTAAGGATTTCTTATCTTTAAAATTGAGTGGCTACTCAATGTTATTAAGTCTTTATTGATCTGAATTTAATTATAATTAAAATTTCAATTTAGATGTTATTAGAGGAATTTTTGTTGTTCCTAAATTATTGTGCAAATATAATGTTTTTTAAAGTTTTTCCATGATTATACACCATTAATTCTAGAATGGGGATTCTTTTCATATTTTAATATATGAAATCTGAATGCCACTTAAATGTTATAATTGAAATGGTAATGTTTTTCAGTTTCTTTCTTTATGGTATAAAAGTAATTGTTTAGTTTACAACCACTGGGATTTCAGAATCAACGCGATGTATAGTGAATCATATTTTTCAAACTCAGTTTCTTTTGTCTCTGAAATAGAAACAACTATGGGAAGAAAGTATTGCTTCTTTACCATGTGTTATCCATTAATAGTGTAACTACAGCAGAACCTAAGTATGTTTTTTAACCAAAGTTAGTCTAACAGACAGCTGCAATGTCACTGGGAGATAAGATGCATTTTTAGTCTAAGATGATTAGTACATATTATTTGGGGGGAGTTATGTCTGCCAGAGTTAATACCTAAAAACACACCTGCTGTTTTAACTATAACAGCTTACACGTTTGTGGCTTTTCAAATAAAAAACATGCTTTGGGTAACTACCTTGAACACTTAATACCAGAAACTCAAGCACTGTTAGAAATTGGGCTTTATCTTCTTTCATTTATTTAAGGCATGTGGGGTTTCTTGCCTTTTTTTTTGTTTCTAAACATTCTTCAAAATGAATTTTTGTTTGACCTAGAACCTCAAAGACCCTTTCCACTCTGAGATAAGGTTTCTAGTCCTCATTCTAGACCTTCAGGATTCACCTGCTAACGGCTGAGTTGCTTCAATAGTCCCTTTTCAGGAAAGCCAGTTGGTCCTCCCTGATCTGACCAGTGCAGTGCCAGCCATTGTTGACTGCACCGTCTCACTTGTAGCTTTCTCCCCTCTTCTTCTACAGGATCATTTTGTTTTTTATCTAGATCTAATCATCTTATTAAAACTTTATCTTGCATATAAACCAGACTCTCTTCTGGAAGTACTTTAAATGCTAACCACTTCCCTGTTTCCAAAGAATTATGATAGTTCCTAAATATACCAACCCATCTTTGACACTTACATCTATCTTATAATTTTTTATTATAAAGATGTATAGAGGGGTTATTGTTACATAAGTTAGGTAAAGAGTACATTTGTTTTTGCCACTCCTCTCTCTCTGTGTCTCTGTCTCTCTCTTTCTCTCCCAGTTCTTCCCTCCCATCCCCACCAACAAGTTGTATAGTTCATTTCAACCTAGTGTCCAGGAAATAGCACTGCTGCATTTGTTTATTCCTTTGTTCTTCAATTTCTGACTTATACTTATCTGCAGAGATAGTGGGTATTTTTTTGGCCAGGAATATTCTATTTTTGCATGTCTTCAGAAAAGAATTTCTTACTGTCATTTTATGGAAGTTAGCTACTTATTCCCAGTGTGCTAAATATTCATTGTAATACAGCATAACCTTACGCAAAACTGGGTGTGGTAGTGCACACTTATAATCCCAGCTACTCAGAAGGCAGACCAGTTGTTAGTGGTTTGAGGTTAGACTGAAGCAAAGTTAGTGAGATCCTTATCTCAAAAACAAGGCAGGTGTGGTGCTGTACACATCTGTGGCTCCAGCTACTTGGGAGGTATAAGTGGAAGGATCACAATTTGAGGCCAGACAGGGAAGTGAGTGTGACATACTACGTAAATGAGCAGTACTCTTCAGTAAGAATTACAAATTTTTGGAAATGAAATATGATATACAAAGACTATGTACAAAATTAACCTTGAATAATGGAGTCACATTGCCAATGCTCATTCACTAGTTGACCTAAATAATAAGCAAAGGTAAGTGCTGTGAGGGCAGGGCCTTTCCCCTGCTCTGCCTTGCAACAGAGCAACAAATGCCAGTAGCTGGCATCATTTCCAATCAACAAAATCTAAGAATTCACATAGTGGACACATGTAGCACCTAAGGACCCCAAACTACATGTCCCAGGACATGTAAACTATTTCAAGGAGAACCAAAAGCTATTCAGTTTCCTATATTTGTGTAGAACTGGAAACAGAATTTCTAAAAAGACAAGATAGCTACTAGTCAGTATCTTAAACTGAATAACTCTATAAGGATTTATATTGTCATCTTCTTTCCTTCCCCCCGCCCCCCTGCATCCCCCAATTACCTGTAACCTGGTCTATGGAGTCTACATACCCAAGTCTTCCTTTAGAGAAGTCAAGGGAATAAAAAAACAAATATGTATTTTAGCTGTTTAGTTCTCTGATACTATACATTCTTATAGGTTTGTATGAACACATTTAAAGTATGTGATACTCTACAGAATATGAAATATACTCCAAGAGATTACCAAAAACATTCCTAGTGATTCAGACTCCATGTACTGTCACACTTCATACATTTAAACTAGGAAACAGTGAATGCATAAAATACTGCTAACATAAACTAGGGAACTATGAGGATGATTAAAGGGAACCTAATTAAGTGAAGAAAAGTTTATCTTTAATGAGATGCATTTTTGTTGAACTTTACCCAAGAGTATTTTATTATTAAAAGGCATAACTGCTGATCACAAATATGAGTTTTACAAGTTTTAAAATATCAATTTCATAAAACTGCCTTGGAGCACAAGTATATCCTGTAAAATTAACACAAATATTTTGTATTACTTTAACAGCCACTAAAACTACTGACACATTTACTGTAAAACACGAAAGCTAATGTGCTTTTTTCTATAAACTTGTCTTTTATCAGTATAATAAAAACACCAAGGTAGACTTTCAGGTGGATATGTCTACAGATAAGTAGGCTATATCCCCAAAGGGGCTATATCCCGAGGATAAACACGTTAAATCACGATAATAATAGTATGTAAAGACATTTTCTAGATAATGTCTTTACTTGCATAGACCCAAGGAAAAAAAATGAAGCAATAATGTAAAAGCCTGGCTAACGTGTTTCCTTGGTATGCTCATGTACCTCAGAAATGTGCTGAAGACTCTATTAAGAAGCACCACATGGGCTGGGAAGGTGGCTCAGTGACAGAGTGCTTGCCTTGCATGCATGAGGTCCTAGGTTCAATTCCTCAGCACCACATAAGCATAAAAGGCCAGAAGTGGCACTGTGGTTCAAAGTGGTAGAGCGCTATCCTTGAGCTGAAGAGTTCAGGGACAGCATAAAGGCCCAGAGTTCAGGCCCCACAACCAATACTCCCCCACCCCCCGCAAAATAAAAAAAAAAAAAGAAGCACCACATTCAATTTAGTAATGTACCACAACAAATCTGTCTAATGAGCATAACTAAAGAAACACTCAATTACAGAGCTGAAATGTTCTATCCAAATCTAGAAAAAGCCTAATATTTCTGTCTAAATGAGTTGATAGTTGGATGCAA